GCCGCTCCCTCCGCGGGTGCTCGCTCTGCTTCGCGCGCGGCCAAAGCCCCCCGCGGCCAGGCGCTGAGCCAGGGGGACCGCGCGCCCCGCGGCCCCCGCCAGCGGACAGGCCCAGCGGCCCGGCGCGGCCGATGGCCACCTCCGTCGGGCGACGGGGCGCGGTCGGGAACGCAGCGGCCGCCCCGCGCCGCGGCCCCCGCCCGCGCGGTCGCGCCCCGATGCTTGGGGCCGAGGGGCGCAGAGGCAGCCGACGGTGCCCGGCGTCTTCCTGGGGTAGAAACGTCGGACAGGCGTCGCAGTCTTCGCGCAGCACGGCCTTCGCAGACTGGCATCCGACCCGGCCGCACCTGCTCAAGGCGCTCTCGGAACCCGACGCCGGCGCCCTCGGGGGCCGCGACAGCTTGGACTTCGACGGCCACGCGGGCGCAATTATCATGGCGTGGCCAAAGGAAAAGCAGCACGCGCCTTCGAGCCCCCCCCGCCAATTCAGAGGCGCGGGGCCGCCGCGCAGCGACGAGTGCATCGAAGGCCCGACGGGTTTTCACGACGGCGCGGGCTTCCCGTCGCCTGGCCGCTGGGACCTGGATATTCGGAAGTTCCCGGTCTTGAGGATTGCTCTCGAGGAGATCGCGCGCGCAGGCCATGGGCGGCCCGGCAGCCGCGAAGGCCCCCCCCGCGCAAGACGGCGGCGCAGGCGCGCCCGACCGGGGCCGACCCGAGCGAGCAGCTCGACCGCGCGAAGAAGAGGCTTACGAGGCAGCCAGGGGGTCCCCGAAGGCGGGCGCGAACGAGAGCAGCGGCGGGGCCTTTCGCGACCCTTGCGGGCGGGTGCCAGCCCGCGCGCTGGCGCGTCGCCCCCCCTTGCCGCGCGCCCAGACCAGGAGGCGGCCAACTAGGCCGCCCCAGCAGCGGCCGAGGACAGGAGCGTGGAGGACCGTGGCGACTGGTCACGTGAACACTTCGCGGACGAGGTGAAGTCGGGCAGGGTGACCAAGACGTTGAAGGTGCAGTTGTGCTGTCGCTTCCAAGGCGTCTGCTCCATGGCGCAGTTGGCGGTCCTGGAGGTCGCGGGCAGACGAGGCGACTCGGGCACGCGGGCGCGCGCGAGGCCGCTGTGAACATTCGACTCCGTTGCGCAGGGGCCGCCATAGGACGCCGGGGCCAGCGGGGAAGAAGTGCATCCTGAGTTGCGACGGGGGCAGGCGCGAGGTCGTTTGCTCGCCCATCACCGACGCCAAAGGCACGCATCGGCCCATCGCGATTCGCGAGGACGAGTGGAGCGCGCTGGCCAGCGAGCTTGAGGACGATATCCGCGGCAACACCGTCGGCTCCGTCGGCATCTCCAGCGCCTCGGAGGGGTGGGCCACGCGGTTCGGCCCCCCGCTGCGAGCGATCATCCGCTTGCCGGGCAGCGTCTGACCCGCGAGGAAGCCCGCCCACGCCGACGACCTGGAGGCGATCGGCTCGGAGGGACGCAGGAGGCGGGTCGCGGGGGGCCCTTGTCGGGGCCATCCCCGTTGGCGGCCTCGGCGTCCCGGGGCGGGGGGCGCCTCGAGTTGGTCTGGGCTGGCCCCCGCTGCGACTGCGCCGCCCACGCCGCGTGCCTCTCGGAGGCGAGAGCGTCTTGGTCGGCCAACTGGCGACGGAACTGGTCGAGCGCGGCGCCGTCCGCGCGAGCGAGATGGCGGCCGGGCGGGGATGCCGGAGCTTCGCGGAGACGGCCTCGTCGGGGAAAACCGAGGGACCCGCGTGCGCCTCGCCTCCCAGCGTCGACAGGCTCGGCAAGGAGAGGGCCCCCCAGCCGCGGGCGGCCAGGCTCGCGCTGGCGGGGATCGGCTGGCCAGTGGGCAGAGGGCGGGGACTCGGTGCGCCCATCTAGTTCGAGGGTGAGAACGCGGGTGGTTTCGCTCGGACGCGCCCGCGCGCTAGCGGGGAAGGGCGGGCGCCCTCAGATGAAGGGGCGAGACATAGACTCCTGGGAGCTCCATGATGCCATCGTCGAGGAGGGGGAGGCGCCGCCGGGAGAACGGCCGCCCCGCGAGGCGGCCGGCCTGGGAGGTTTCGCCCTCCGCGGCGCCCCCTGCCGCGGCAGCGGCCCCTGTCGACGCCTGCGCGGCATGCCTCCCCGCCCGAAGGCACCGTCGACCGCTCGCCCTGGGGCGCCTCCGTGGCGGGGTTCGGCGGCGGTCTCCCAGGCGGGAAGGGGCTCTGAGCGGCTGCTTGGCGCGCCTCCAGCACCGCCTTGAACCCCCACCCTCCGGCGGGCCCCTCCGCGGCGAGAGCGCCCTTCCTGACCTCGGGGGCCCCGCCCTCCGCCGCGGGGGCGAGGGCCCGGCGCGGGGCGGGGGCCTCGGCCGCGGAGTGCCCGATGGAAGACGAGCAGGGTTTCGCGGCCGCGCCTCTCGTCCTCCGCGCGCGCGCGGCGGCGAGCGCGGTGGCGGCGCCGCGAAAAGGGAAAGGGGGGAGGTGAGAAGGTAGACGGGCCCCGACGCGCAGCGTCTGGAAAGGAGCCGAGCATCTTCCTCTCACCTCCGCGCCTCTTCAGCCCCCTTTCCTCGGCGTTTCACGCCCGTTGCACGGGGGGGCAACGAGCCCCTGGGGGCGGCGGGGGCCCTCGGAGAGGGCCACCGGAACCGCCGCCAGAGAAAGGGGCCCCACCGTCACCTCCTTTTTTTTTCTGCTATCGCACCGCTGTTAAGGCCCGTCGAGGACGCGCCTCCGCGTGCCAGCCCGTAAGTGTCTCGTCCTCAACTTTCAGGAGCGAGCCGCGGAGTTTCAACATTCTTCCTGCCACCATCATTGAACGTGTTGAGGGAGTATGTCTTCTCTCCACTCCGCGTCTTGATCCAAAGCAACAGAGGGGCAAACATGGTGTGAACGCCCTGCTGTCTGACACTGCTACCTAAACATCTGCTTCGCGCTCGGGCGCACCACCACAACGATAGGCCAGGTGACTGAGTCCTCCCCTTATTAGACGCGCGTACTGTTTTCCTTAGATGTGGCGCGCGCGTGTATTGCACGCTGCCGATTGCCACCGCCTGCGCCCTTCATGGGCTCGCCTTCCGGCGCGCGGGCGTGACCTTGACCTTGGTGCCATTTGGGCTCCGGCGCTCGGGCGTCTCAGAACAACCCGCCAATCGCTCTGCCCGGGGCATCGCGATCCTGGGAGTGGCAGGGGCCAGGGGCCAGGGCCCCCCGAATCGCCGCCCGAAAAAGGCAATGCCGTTCCTTTTGGTTGCAACGCCATCGCACCGCTACGAGGGTCCATTGAGGATGAGTACGTCGTGTACCCTGTCAAGCTCTTCCCTTTCACGGTCAGCTGGCCTCGGCCGCCCGATGCTCGCTGCGCAGCCGCGCACTGGCGCCTTCGTGCATTCGTCGGCACGCGCGTGACGATCTGCACGATTGTCCTCTTCTCCCCTCTGCTCTCCGCGCGTTCCGCCGTTTCCGGGGCGTCCCGTTCGTAGACTGGCGCCTGCACCTGCTTCGGTTCGCTTGCGCCCACTGACTTAGCAAGTTTTGAACTCGTCACTCGGGCGAGGGCGCGGCCGCGCGCGAGAAGCGAACTGTCTCGCTCTATTTCGCCTGGACGTGGCATTCCCGTTCCGACGCAGCGCATTCTTTCCCGTGCCGAATCGCGGAAAGGCGGCAACGGCAACGAGGCCGCGCGAGAGCGGGTGAAATCGGCGCCGCGCAGATTTTGCGTGAAACGGCAGCGTCGATGGGCGCAGCGCGTGCTCGTTTTGCCACGCTCATTGGAACCTTGACCGCAGCGCCGCGCAAGTGCGGTAGTTCGCGTCGTGTCGACGGGCTGGGACCCCGCCGTTGGCCGTTCAGCGTGGAAGGCCGCCGGCGACACATAGTCGGTCGATGTTGAACGACATGATGTTTCGTAATCGGCCGATCCTTCAGGTTGGTCGATCCCCGCGAAGTCAGCAATCAACGCCGGGGCCGACACGACATGAACCCGTTGTACCTTCTGGAATATCCCTCAGCGCCCGTGCACGGCGCGTGCTTTCATTTCGCCAAGTCGTCGGAAGCGGAACCGCGCGCGAACGATTTCCGCTCTCTGGGTGGAAACGCGCGCGGGTCTCAGCTGCAAGCTGCGCCAGCATTGTTTTTTTGTGTACGGCAGGGAGGGTGGGGGTGGGCGGGGCCCGTTGGCTAGCTCGACCTGGCCAACTTGGCCCCAATTTCCTATTGTCCTACGTATTCCGCATATCGGCCACGCGCGGGGGGGGGGGAGGGATACGGGGGGGGGGGAAGGCTTCTTGGAAGCACCCCTGCTTCTTAGAAGGCGCGGGCCTTCTCTATACATGCGAGGCCGGCGCCCTCTCAGAAGCAGCCTGCTTCCAAGAAGCCCTCCCCCCTCCCCCTGCCCCCCTCTGCGCGCCGCCATGCGGAGGCTGTAAGTAATCCGCCAGGGGCCGCTTCTCAAGGGCGGCCGCGCAGGGGCGCGAAGGTACCCGCGCGCCGCGCATCGAGGCCCCCAGGCGGCCGACATCGAGCGATCCGCGCTGTCGGAGAGCTGCGATCGCCCCAGCTTGAACGTCCCATGCGGTGTCAGCAACCAACATTGAGATCCGACGACGCGATTACGTGGCAACATCATGCAAAATCACGACCGGAGCCCTGCACCTCAACTTTCTGCAGCAGATTCCGAGCCAGATCGATCTCTGAGGGCCCCCGCGCCCGAAACCAGGCGAAAACGCCCCTTGTGAGAAAACTGCAACGCCCGGACCTCCATCACGACACGACCCGGGACAGGCAGATTGGTGCTGTCGGACGGGGCTAGGACGAGGATGAATGCGTTCCAGAGCGTTCCGGAACGCTCTCAGAGCATTCCAGAACGCTCCGAGAAGGCCGCGGCACCCGATACATCCTCCAGAGCCGCCGGATCTCAGAGAGTCTCGATTCATCCTCACCCGATTTAACCCTCGTCTTGGCCTCGTCTTATGCTGCTGCTCTCCAGAACCGGGGGCGCGCCGGCCGCGGCCCAGGGCAGTGTGGACGGCTACTTCATTGTGGAGGTGCGCGGGCAGCCGCCAGAGGCCACCGCCCTGGACCTCCAGTCGATCATGGAGGCGCAGGGCCACAGCGTCCAGACCGTGAAGATCCAAGAGGGCGCCCCCGATTCCACCGCCGGCCCCGGTCGGCCACGTGCGGGGGGGGGTACGGGGGAAGGGGGGAAGGCTTCTTAGAAGCACCCTTGCTTCTTAGAAGGCGCGGGCCTTCTCTATACATGTGAGGCCAGCGCCATCTAAGAAGCAGCCCCTTTCTAAGAAGCCTTCCCCCTTCCCCTAATTACTCCCCTCTGCGCGCCGCCAACCCAGGGAAAGCGGGACCTTGCCTCCGGATCCGCCGTGCTTTGGGCGATTTCGCAAATAGGGAGTAGGGCGCAAACGCGCCCTACTTTTTCAGGCTCCTTGGGACGCTGATTCCCGCCCTACTTTGCCGTTGCAATTTCAGCCATAACCCCCTTGCGGAAGTATCCGCCCAAATGGTCTGATGCGGAAGCTTCTGGCCTTTTTCTGGGAATCGTTTGGGGTGCATGTCTGTCTGGCAACAGATCGAATCGGGAAATCAACCAAAGTACGGCGTATCCAGAGTCAGGGGACGGGGATCGGAGGGACTCGATCTATACACCATGTCGCTATGAATTCGGTGTACAGACGCTCCAGTGCCTCACAGGTTGGGAAGCTGGGGCGTCTGTACATCGAGCTTCCTGGCCGACAACATGACGCGGTGAAAACCTCGAGCTCATCCCAGTGGAATGAGGTTCCCGCTGGATGGGATTGCCCGTGAGCCTCGCGAAGGCCTCGCCCCGTGGTCGTGGCCCTGTGGCCGTAGCGTGGTAGAGGGTGCCAGTGCCTCCCTTCCCCCTCCCCCTGTGGGTGTGGGGTGCTTCGTCGTCGTCGTTGAAGTCGTGGGCGTCGGCGTCGTCGTCGTCGTCGTTGTCGTCGTCCGTTGGCGTCTGCGTTGGCGGCGGCGTCGGCGTCGTCGGCGTCGACGTCGGCGTCGGCGTCGGCGCCGGCGTCAGCGTTGGCGTCGTTGTCGTGTCGTCGTCGTCGTCGTCGTCGTCGTCGTCGTTGTCGTTGTCATCGTCGTCGTCGTCGTCGGCGTCGGCATCGACGGCTGCGTCGGCGTCGGCGCCGCCGTGCCTCCCCTTCCAATCTGGGGGGGGGCCTGTGGAACCCTGGACCCCATCCCATCTTTGGGGGGCCCAGTCCCACCTGCAGGGTGGGACCCATCCCATCTGGTAGTTGGGGCCTGTGAACCCTCGACCCAGGATCATACATGTATATATATATATACACATGTGTACACCCATACATACATACTTCCAATCATACAAACGAACATACATACATACATATATACATGCACACATGCATACAAACATACAAACATACAAACATACAAACATACAAACATACAAACATACAAACATACAAACATACATCCATACATACATACATACATACATACATACATACATACATACATACATGCATGCATGCATACATACATACATACATCACCACCGCTCAGGGGATCGATCTTCGGGGGCTTGGGCAGGAGGCGGATCGGAGGTCGGGGGTAAGATCGAAGTCAAACGGAGAGCCCCCACAGGGAAATCGATGTCGGTTTCGTGATCGCGCCGTCCGTGCGGGCGACGCGAAGGTGCGTGCGCGGGCGAGGGGAGTGATCCCGCCGTTGCAAAGTCAGAGCAAATATGTCTTCTCACCTCGGTTGGCGGTGTCGTCCCGCGGTTGTCCCCTGGTTGTCGGTCCCAGTGGTTGTCCCGTGGTTGTCCCGAGGAGTGCCCCAATTGTAGGTTGATTAATATACATCGTGGGACCGATTGATAGTTTGTGAGGCCGATCTATAGACATATCGACAATCAGATTGATAGTGTTATGGACAGATCGAGCGCGATATCGATACATAGGTCATGCTTATATATCTAAAGATATGTACACATATATAGCGCCCTCAGACGGCCACGATGGGCTTAAGATGGGCCCAAGATGGCCACTCGACGGTCTAACGGGCTCGTCAGATGGCCCAAGGGCCCGAAGACGACTTCCAAGAGGCCCCCGAGAGCCAAATATTGTTGGTTTTCTGAAGATTTCGGCGCAATGTTCGCACACTCGGCTTCTCGGTCCCCAGAGCGCCCGAGACGGTCGAAGAGGTTCTCGAGATCGCTCCAAGATGGCCCACTGGGCGCCCAAGAGGGCCCCAAGGCGAGCCTAGGACGGCCCAAGAGCGGCCCAAGACGGACCCAAGCCGCTCCAAGAGGACCGACTCTCTGAGGGGCTCCAGACGGCCCAAGAGGCCTCCAAGGCATCCCAACTGGACCCCCAGACCGCCCCGGGAACAGCTCTAAGAGGCCCCTTAGATCGCTCTGAGGGACCAGACGGGGCCCCAAGACGGCCCAGGAGGCCCCCAAGACGGTTTGAAAACGGCTTCAAGAAACCCCGAAGAGGGCCCACTCTAGACTCCGCTTAAGTACGGTGACGGTCAGATAATCAATCTCAATATCAATACCAATTGTATGTGTATAAATATATACACAAAACTTGAAGCTCGCTGCGCTTCGCTTTAAAGTCTTGGTATAGTGCACTGTGCGCGAGGCGAGGGGGGTTAGAGGGGAAACAGGCGTATTGGGCCGAAACGCAGCGCAGCTATATGTGGAGGCAAAGAGGGCTGCGAGAAACGGCAAAGCATGTGGGGTGGTGGAAGAGGTGTGCGCGGTTCGACGACAGCGACGACGACGTTGTCGTCGTCTGCCATCTTGAGGTGGTCTTAAGCCTTCCGGAACCGCTCTTGGGGGCGTTTCGGCCGTTTTGGGCCCGCAGCAACGGATGATGAGAGCGGCGATCATGACATTCCTGTCCGTCGCGGGCCGTTCGGGCGGCCCCCCCGCTCTTGGCGAGGCGCAGCTGTGGGGGTGTCGCGCCAGGGACGTCGTGGTCACAGGCGTTGGTAGTGCCCTGGAAGGGTTCAGGTTGCAGCAAGAGGTTGAGACCGTCTTCTCACCCGCCCCACCTCTCAGAGTCCTCTCGCAGGCGAGAGGTGGCGGTCCTTTCCCGACCCACCCTCTAACCCTCGTCCTGATCGCCCTGAGAAAGGGTGCAGGTGACGGGGCGAGGCGGGATGGTCGGCGGGAGGGGGTTTCACAACTACGATAGATCCGGCCTAACGGCCACTAAGGTGGAATGTGGAGCTACGGGGGAGGTTGCTTAAGAGCGGCCCGTTGGGCCAACGTGTGGGAAATTGGGCTACACTCGGCGTCCCCACTAGCGTTTCGGGAGAGGGCGGCTTGCGGTCAGGGGCCGCCCGTGGGGGCCCACCGACGTGGTCGGCTGGGGGTCCCCCGATTCGGGCCGAATGCTTTCGGACGAGGCGCAGCGTCCCTGGGGCAGCGGTGCCTGTCCTCGGAAACGTTACTGGGGGTTTAGAGGGGCGTCTGAGCGTAGTGACCATAGGCGAGGGAGCGCCTGCCCAAAAAGCGTGCGTGTGTGTATATATATACACAGATGAAATGGCGTGTTTTACCGTTGTTGGCAGAAAATCGGGGGGGGTCACTGGGGGTTTCCAACCCGTTCCCCCCCCGCCCCTCTCGAAAGCCGGGGGGGGTCACTGGGGGTTCCAACCCCTCCCCACCCCAGCCCCCCCGTCCATCATGAACAGGGGGGGGTCCTTACTGGTTCGAACCCCTCCCGCCCTCCCCCCCCTGGAAAACCGGGGGGGGTCACTACTGGTTCGAACCCCCCCCCCTCTCCTCTCCCCTCCCCACTCGCCGCAAGGACTCCCCCTCCTCTCCAACTCTGGATGGGGGACTGGTGGGGACAGTGGTTGGGACGGTGGTGGGGAGTGGGGACAATGGGAAGAGTGGGACAGTGGTGGGGACAGTGGCGGGAACAGGGGTGGCAGTGCGACAATGGTGGGCGCACTGGCGGGGACAGTGGGACAGTGGTGGGGACAATGGGGACAGTTGGACACTGGTGGGGACGGTGGTGGTGGGGACAGCAGTGCGACTGGTGGGGACGGTGGTGGTGGGGACAGCAGTGGGACAGCGGTGGGGATGGTGGTGGTGGGGACAGTGGTGAGGGCGGTGGCGAGGACGGTGGTGGGACAGTGGCACAGTGGGGAGAGTGGTGGGGACAGTGGGGACACTGGGGCAGTGGTGGGGACACTGTGGACAGTGGGGCAGCGCAGTGGGACAGCGGTGGGGACAGTGGAAACAGTGGGACTGGTGGGGACAGTGGGACAGTGGGGACAGTGGGACAGTGGGGAGAGTGGGATCGTGGTGGGCACACTGGTGGGGACAGTGGGGACGGTGCGACAGTGGTGGGGGCACCATTGGGGAAATTGGGGACAGTGGTGGGAACAGTGGGGACAGTGGGACAGTGGTGGGAACAGTGGGACAGAGGTGGGGACGGTGGTGGTGGGGACAGTGGCGAGGGGACACTGGGACAGTGGTGGGGACAGTACACTGGGACAGTGGTGGAGACGGTGGTGGTGGGTGTGATTCCAGAAGATTCGCTGCTCTTCTCACTCGCTCTCTGCTGTTGCTGCTCAGCTGTCCAGGGTCTCTCTCTGCCGCCGCCCGTTCTGGCTCTAATAAGTTTAGGGCCCTTGGCTGATTGAGCTACGCTTCCGCTCTGCGAGCGTTTCCAAAACGATAGATCCGCGATCTTTCCATATCACACTGGCAGCTTGGAGCGAGGCTCGCTATCCCAGCCCGCGGGGCCGTACATATCCAAGACGACGTCCGCGACGTCGCACTCCATATTGGAATCGAGGCCCAGCGGCTTCCTCGCGCTGTTGCTCAGCGCCTACGCCAGCGTCAGCGACGCCAGCACCAACGCCTACGCCTACATCCCTGCCAACTCCAACGCCAGCGTCAGCGACGCCAGCGACTACGCCTTTGACTCCTACTCATTCAACAACGCCAGCGTCAGCGACGCCAGCGACTACGCCTTCGACTCCTACTCATTCAAGAACGCCGCGTCAGCGACGCCAGCTACTCCATCTCCTTTCCGACCCTCAGCAGCGACGACAGCTACTTCCTCATCTACCCTTCGCAGGACTACGCCAAGTCTCTCATCAGCAGC